CAAGTATCGAGCGCAATCCGTGGTTCTCTGCCGAACAGTAATTCGAATGGCGAGACCTTGGTGGTTGATTGCATGCTGGTGCGATACGCGATCAGAACTTGAGGCAAAGCATCTTCCCATGCCAACTTCGTGCAGTTTATCCACGTCTTCAATGTCCGGTTGAACCGCTCGGTCATCCCGTTGGTTTGTGGGTGGTACGGTGAAGTTCGCCGTCTCTGGATGCCCCACTTGTCCAACACTGACTTAAACGCTCTTGACTCGAAGCAGGGCCCTTGGTCCGTGATGATACACTGTGGGATCCCAAACCTTGCAGGCACATTGAATTCGAATACTTGCGACACTGTCTCGCCTGTTTGGTCCTTGATTGGTATGGCTTCCACCCATCGAGTGAAGTGGTCAATCATCACTAGAATGTATCTGTTTCCTGTTCGACTCACTGGTAAGGGCCCAAAGACGTCCAGTCCCCAACACTGAAGTGGCTCACCAACCTCCATCGATCGCATCGGCGGTCTCGGGGACTCCATCTCCCGACTCGTTTGGCAGTTTGGGCACTCCCGAAGGTATGCCGCGACGTCCTTCCTCATAGTTGGCCAAAACACTCGCCTCCGCAGCAATTCAAAGACCCGCTCGAATCCCATATGGGCGCCATCATGAGTTATGCGCATCACACGTTCTCGCTGATTTGGTGGAACAAAAGGCACTTTCCGTCCGTCTATCGCCACCACCACGTTATCGTTTTCGACCTTCAACCTGTCCCAGATCTTGAGGAGTTCCTCCACCTCCTCCGATGTAGCCTCCGGTTTGGTGCCAGCCCGTAAGTGAGAGCACAACACATTCATGAATTCATCTGTCCTTTGATCTCCCAGCAGGTTCCTCTCTCCCATCGCGAACGCACGCACCGGTATAGCATGGTCTGGCATGATGTCGTCCAAACACGGGCGTGACAACATATCTGGCAATACATTCTGCGTACCATCCACGTGCTCAATGGTGAAGTTGAATTCCTGCAATCGGTAGGCCCATCGCGCAAGCCGTCCCCGCGGGTCTTTCGCCGTCATCAACCATGAGAGCGGTTTGTGGTCAGTGACGACCCGGAATTCATTCGCCAGTAAGTAATTTCTCCACTTCTCTAACGCCCACACGATGGCCAAGCATTCTTTCTCCGTTGTTGAATACTTCTGCTCCGCCCCCGTCAGCACTCTGCTCGCGTACTCCACCACCCCAGCCGGTTGAGACAAAACCGCACCGATTGCCACGTTGCTTTCGTCGACCGCCACAGTGAGCCTCTCACCAGGATTGGGTAGCCGTAGACATGTCGGGGCTTCTGCTATGCATGCCTTTAGCTGGTCAAAGGCTTGATCCGCTTCAGCTGTCCACACGAACGGCACGTCCTTGCGAAGCAGCTTTAACAACGGGCTGACCTTCTCTGCGAACTGGGGCACAAACTTTGAATCATATGCCGCCACACCCAAGAACGAACGGAGCTGACGCTTGGATTTTGGTTTTGTGAAGCACTTGATAGTCTCGCGTTTCTCCGGAAGTGGATGGACTTGACCATTGCCCACGATGTGACCCAAGCATACAATTGACTTTTGGCCAATCTGCGACTTTTTACGACTGAGTTTCAGACCAGCTTCATCCAGTCTCTGCAGTACTGCTCCAAGTCTGGTCACATGTTCCTGTTCCGTCTCAGAGAAGACGATGATGTCATCACCGTACACAACCACGCCTTGCAGGTTCGCGAGGACCATCAGCAACAAACGCCTGAATGTAGCCGGGGCGTTGCACAATCCAAACGGCATTCTCAAAAACTCATACTGCTGGCCATTGACACTGAAAGCCGTCTTGTGACGATCTTCTTCTGCGATCGGCAGTTGCCAATATCCCGAGCGGAGATCAATCAGAGATATCTGCTTGGCACTGTGAAGGCTTGAGAAAATTTCTTCCATCTGAGGCATCGGGAATGCATCCTTCACCGTCACCCTGTTTAGTTCTCTGAAATCGATGCAAAATCGATAGGTTCCGTCGGCCTTCTTCGTCAATAGCACGGGTGATGAATACGGGCTGTGCGTTCGCCTGATGATTCCTTTCGATTCCATCTCGGTCACCTGCTTCTGTATCTCCACCAGGGTGTTCTGTGGAATTCGTCTGAAGATTGGCTTGCATTGTCCTCCTGGGATCAACGGTATTCGGTGTTCAACCCAATTGCAAAATCCGTAATCATCTTCCGCGTCTGTGAATAAGTGGGCATACCTGCTCAGTACGTTGCGTATTGCACGGTTCTGACAATCAGGCACGGCTTTGAGGGCACCAACCCGGTCGGTTCTCCCCTTGTTTATCTCGATCGTCTCGTTAGCCACGATCACCACATCGTTTTTCAGGTCAATTGTGACACCGAGCCGTTTCAGGATGTCGGTTCCGATTATGGTTTCGGTCGTCTCCTGCACGATGAACATGTCATGGCGGATGAGCGTTTCTCCTATCCTGATTCGTAATCGCTGCGTGCCCGTCACTTTCAAAGAATGCCCGCCGACCGTCTGCATCGTGATTAAAGATGGATTCACTGGAACCCCGTTGAACCTCTTCGTAATTGACACTGCCGCTCCTGTGTCTACTATGGCTCGGACAGACACCCCTTCTATAGTTACATGGAGGACTGGTACTCGCCACCGACTCGGCATGGATAGAGAGAAACAATGGGGCACATTGACGTTGGTGCAGAATCTCGCCACATGACCATTCTGGTTGCATCGGAAACAGCGGCGACCGTTCCGGATTACCCGTACATTGCGTTGTGAAGTGGTGCTTGAAGACTCTATCGACAACAGCTGCTCCACCATTTCGGAAAGGCGATTTACTTTCTGTTCCAACTCAGCATGCTGGATGCTTCTCACTGTCACTCGCTCCGACAAATTCTGGGCGACTGTCACCAGATCCAAAGCTTTGCTGTCTCCCGCCAGCGACGCCAATTTCACCTGATCATGGAGTGGACCGGGCAGACTTCGGATAAACTGCTGTTTCAGTAGGCGCTCTCTTGCTTTGCCCTCTAACTCGGGGAGCCCAATCGTTAGATGTCTGTCCAGCTGCTGGAAAAACACCATCAAATCCTCCTGTTCGTCCCATCTGGCTGCGTGAAATCGTTGCAGTGCTCGTTCTCTCTCCAGATCCTTCCCAAATTCTGCACACAAGGCAGCCCTCATCTCAGCGAACGAACAACCAGGTTTGGCCTTTCGAGTGAGCAAATACACCGCCTTGGCTCGTCCACTCAACCGTGTGCCCAAAGCAATTAGCAAATTTGCATCCCCCTCACACCCGTGCAAGCCGCAATTCCGTCAAACTCATCGAGCCACGCCTCCACGTCACCGGCCGCAAATTGCTCCAACCGGGTCAACTCCATCGCGATTGGTCACGGCACCAGTGTAGCGAGAACGACAAGACAGGGGGTAGACGTTTATTGCACACCGAAAATGGGCACATGAGGGTCTCGCGCGCGCCATCGAATATCGACTAGGTTTCCGTCCCACAACGCAACACAGGTACAGATGTTAGAGTCGAGCCAGTCCTTTCGCCTCGGGAGCTCTGACTTGGAAGATCCGCCTTCCTGTTTTCGCCTCGATCTCCGCTTCTCTGCACCCGATTTTGATCGGCCAGGAGTCGTTCGAGAGCTCTCGACTTGCTTGTTCGGGGCTGTGTCAATCGGCTCGGCCTCGGTGCTGTGGGCTGCGCTAGCGGCGTATTTGTCTGATTTATTGCGCTGTCCACATGTTCCCGCTCCGTAGTTCCGGGCCCAGGCTCGTCGCTAGCCGTCTTTCGCGATCCGCTCTCAGCTAGCTCCGAAGAGCTCCCCAGAGCCATTCTTGGAAGCGGCCCCTCTACACCAAGAAAGTGACCTTAGTTTGCTCGTACAGAGTGACCTCAACTGTTCAAGCATCCTGAGGCAGCTGCGAAAAGAGCAACCAAAGCGTCAGCCTGTTGTGAAGGGCATTCAGAAGATTTGATCCATTCATCTTTCCGATGGTGTACAACTCCTGCGTGTGCCCTCACGTGGAATGCGCTATCCAAATTTGGCAACCTTGGTTGAAGCGCGATCTGGATGTGCTGGAGACACCACAGTGCAGACCACTAAAGAATGACAAGCTCCTACGCACTTACTCGACCAGCATGAGCCGAAGTTGCTTGGATTGTTTAGCGGACTCTACCGAAGGTTGCGCGTTGATCTCGTATTAGTGTACTAACTTTTGAGTGGCCCTAAGCACGTATACTGTCAGTTGCTGAAACGCAGCTACTATGGCAAAACCAGTGATACTTGTTTGTAACTGGGTGGACAATACAGCAGTCTAGATTTTCTACGGAATTACTTTCTGCTCGGGCTTGCCAACTAGAACTCTCTCCAAAGCGTATTTGTCTCCTCCTCTAATTTGTAAAGTTTCAAAAAATGATTGGATGTTGCTCTTAGTTCACGGCACTTCATTACATAAACTTCACTATTGCGGTCTACGTTAAGTATACTTTTTCATCCGATTTATGTGTCACATGGACCCAAGGAAGTGGTACATGGTTGAGCTAACTTATTTTCATCACAATTTGCGTCAACTATCACTGCACCCTTGTTCTTCGTATGGTTACCTTCAACATACGTTGTATACTCTCATTATTTAGCAACGCATTTAACTATATACAAGCTTAAACTGATGAATCACAGACCTTTTGATTCTGCAGTGTTCCTCACAACCAACCCTCGGGACTTGTCAAGCACTTTCGTTTTAACCCGTGATAAGTCATTGTTCAATGATCAATTGAAAATGAATACCACAGACTTTGTTGACTGGCGGGCATATGATCAATGACAACGCTGTGCCAATGCTGCAGTTAGTGTTCAATCCTGGTTTGTCTTCCCAGCTACCAACCTCTTGATCCGTTTCTATTGAACTATCAGCCGGAATCACGACAAACTGTGTGCACTTCAGACTGATGCTTACTATCGTTCTTCTTTTATCTAGTTCCATGAATTTCTTGACATTCATCGACTGGAACGGGGAGAATCACCGACATTGAGTCGTTGTGTGGAGCACTTCAATCGAACAACCAGCTGGGCACGGAGCTTGCTGTTTGTGCTTGGTCCAGCGCTTGGACAGTGGTTGTCTTCTACATACACCATTGGCCCGACAGGGAGAATGCGTGATGTAAGCAACCACAGGATTACGTGTCAACAGAGCATTTTACCAATGAGTTGCAGCCAAAATATTGACAAGTACCGAGATGCAAACGAAGAGAGGAGTCCGTATTTTTTCGACGTGCCGGATTTTAATACTCTGGTCGCTTCAAAGATTGGCAAGGAAACAGAGTCTAACAGTCAAACCTCTGTCGGATCAGATCTTATGTGTGCAAGGGAAGCCGGAACAAGTGTTTCGAAAAGGAATGTTCTTCCGATACATGCTAAATGTTATGTGAACATAATATTTGGAAAACTATGTGATATTTTGAAGGTCAGTAGCGTGGAAATGTCGCTAGCTGGTTATTTGACCAATCTAATTTTTATTCTGCACCCTTAATGTCAACTGCAAACTTCACGTTAGGAATGATCATCGGAGCCAATGTCTTCAAGTTGCATCGCTAGTAGAGTAAATCAGCTCCTGAGCCTGGATAGGAAAGAAAGAATTACGTGGGTAGTATTCGACTTATATGTATTGATGTTAATTTGTGCTCATCTGAGGAGTAGGAGCCTCTAGCAAAACATGTATCAAGACGACCCGAGGAATGCAGCCGAAACCCAGTGGGAGTTACGCAAGTGATATCAATTTTACGGTTAAAAATATGATGGCGCACACCTAACCCGAAAATGCGCAGAACAGGTAGCGGGAAGTTGTCTGGCCCTTAAGCATTCATCAGCCTGGCATCCGTAGGATTCACGGTTCTCGAAAACATCAACCAGGGCCCAGTGATTTAAAGTTGTACACAAGCCATTTCTGTTGCCAACTAATGTTGATTCATGTTTACTGCTCAACTGGACTTGAAACTAACTCTTCTTGTGCAACTATTCGCAATAAGATGCGGACACTTTACAGATCACCTCGTTGCATGTATTCATGTCTCGCCGTTGACACTTTTCTACTGCGAGCTATATCTGCTTTCTATTAACTTCAGTTAGTGTCTAATTCACAGGTTTTTCATTTTAGCTACACCGCGTTATTTTTGCAAAATTCAAGATACTCGCCTAACAGGGTAGTTACAAATTGACGCTTTGAATTATCAGAGTTATGTTTGGCGAAGTGATCAACAAAAAACCAGAGTTTCCGCAGAGTCCAACCAAATTGCTTCGCCAACATCCTTGTTTTTTTTCCTAAGCGTGTATACCCACTTGCGTCAGAAGCCTTCATTTCATTAACTTCCTCAATTGTCTGCTAGGATGGTAGAACAGGTAAGAGCTGTTTTAAACAGCAACATTTTTCTCATCCCTGAGCATGTCTAGAGTCTCAACGACTCGTAGAATTTGAAGCGCAGTTTCGTAAGCTAATTCGTTTTGTTGACGACGCGGTGGCGATGGATACCGCATAAGAATAACTGCCTCAAGTTGCTTGGTGTTACCAGTCACACTCAGTCAGAAGGTTGTTACAAGTCCGGAAAAAGACCGAACGGCTGGTTCCTCTTTTTGGGGATGTTCAGTAATGAGTAGCACATCTTTTCTCTGTTGGGAAAGTACCGGGTGCCCTTTTTACAAACCCATGTGATGGCCGTGTGGCTGTCTGGTTGTGCTAAATACAGTTTATGCTATACAAATATCCCACTAATACTTAGTAATCACCTGATCATCACATGCACCTTATTAGGCTAAACCATGGTATGCAATTTTGGGTAGGTAACTAAAAGTGGGAAGTAGAGTGCCACGATGTCTCTAGCTTCACGCATCGTCAGTCATGGTATTTGATTCAGATACCCACCGAGAATTAGCTCGGGTCCCATTTCACATGTGCATATTTCCACTGCTGCAGAGTAACTGATGGTTGCCGAAAGTATAAAGGAGTAGTGTCGTCTACTGGTACTTCACTAAAGTCATCTCGTTCATCATCTTAAGTGGCTTATCTATCCGCTTACCCCAGCTTACGAAGGAAAGCGCGCGACACTACTTGTAACGGGACAGTCTTTATTCTGTCGGAGGGGATATTGTGCCCAGTTGTCCCATGATTTTTAGTTTTCTGTCATGGGTGTAAGGCTTCATGTGTCGCAGTCGTATTGCACCTAGCGGGTACGAATATGTTCAACTTATTGAAAACTAGCTTCTTAACCGGCCCAATTCTATTACCCGAGAACTCTTTATAGAACTGAAGTACCACTCTTAGGTACCGGTAGAAATGTACTGAATTACAAGAAAAACTCTGCTGCGCTCAGAGAAAAACAGCTGGCCAGAGCAAGTGCTACACCTAGCCAAGTGTTTGCAAGTGGGTCAAAATTATAGGCTGGATTCCGCTTGGATGATGGCCTTCCTCCTACACTGGTGCCGGTCGACAAGGGTGAAACTAGCAATATTCATAAAAAATGCTGCTTGCGGTTTAGGACTGTCGATGCCACACCGGCCCAGAGAGCAAAGAAACACTACCTATTACAACTCTGCCTGCGAATGACTCAAGCTATTTCCAGCTTGCTAGTGTTTTATGCCTGCCGCGCTCAAAACATTACATGAGGTTGCTGATGATATCAAAATTCGCTCTCCACTGAGTGTTCATGCTCGTTCATATACATGGCACTCACCCCTAATATCACACACATTCAGTCGGCATTTGAAGAATCTGATTTGGGGAGAAACATATAATCTTGCGTATTGGTCAAGTACATTGTTGACAGAGAGGTGGCAAGTGAGTTTTGAGCGTTCGGACGATGATCCTCAGTTTCCTTTTCAGATAGACGTGACATTAAGTACAAAATGACGTCGGAGTTAACCTCTGGCAGACGTCGACCACCAAACCAAGACCGATAATTTTGTGCCAATCATTTAAAGTGACAGCTGTCTTTATCACACCGTCACTTACTGGATACCAAGTACATATCCGTTTTAACGCCAAGATGCTTGAGATCAGATAATCGATATTTGTGTTGAACCTACAGCCTGCGGCTGGAAAACAGTTCTTAAACCGACAAATATATAGGTATAGAAAAGTTTGGTAGTTCCCGGGTGACATTACAAGTGTTGGGCTACAGACTTCACTCAGCTCAATTGATGTACACTATTTACAAATGATGTAAACTAGTGTGCTTCGTTCAATTCTACCTTAGGCATTCAAGTATTGTTGAAGGGGGAAGCAATTTTTGGCGTCCTGCTGGTGGACCTTGTGTGCATGCGCGAACTACGACTATGTAGTACGTTGCGGTTGATCAGCCATGGGACTGGTGATTGAATACCATTGATTAATGAGATGATAACCGGTTACTGTCAGAGTAGAACCATTAATTCCGCTGGTGCAGCCTAAAAATGACAAATGGTGCACATACGTTTGAAAACGATCTTTGTATTCAAACCGCATGTTATCAAAGGGAAATGTATGCTGTTCAACCTACCTTCTTATAAGAAGAACTTTAGAATGGGAGGAACTTGGGTTTAAGGCCCTGTCAGTTCAGTCATGTTATTAGCTAGATGAGTTCACGGTGTCAAAGTTCCGACATCCCTCTGTGAGCGATTTAAGGCAAAGCACGCCACTCTTCAGTCATGTCAGTTCGCTCACCAACCACCGGTGCTTGATTTAGCGCTCACGAACGCATGGCTCATGATTGATAAGCTAAAGACAGACTCCTCTAAGGCTGAGTGATCACGTAACAATACTTTACGTCTAGGTATGTTGTGTAAACTGTCCACAGAAACACATTGACTTATTTTGTATAAGCACAAATTAAGTCGAACTAACAACTCATTGAAGAATCTAGCAAGGATTTTTTCGGATGAGAGTTCCATTGATTGTGCCTGGATGGAGTTTGCTGGCACCTCCGCGTTAGAAAAGAATACTGTTCGTTCAACAACAGCTCCATCATGGTTTCGGAGCATAACCCGGATACCCATGGCGGTAAGTGATGCAGCGTGGCATATGAAGAGTGCCAACCCTAGTACTGACAATTGAAGCAGCTATGTAGTTCAGCGCAAACACGTACCACACCTGTCCCTGAGGAAAATTCGTACACTAGCAATACCTGACGAAAACGTTATGTGCCAATAACAAGCTTCTGTACAAACATGTGAACACATCCTCTGGAAAGTGAAGCATGGTGTTTCGCGCTCCCCTTGCAAATGGATGCGCTCAAACCATCGAGGATGCATGCACCGTTCTACGGCTCTAATAAGCCCCAGTATCCCGACGCATCACCAGCACTCGTCACATATCGCATTCCATCAGACGCCAATATTTGCATACCTCACTCTTAATTCAGTGAAATTTCTTGGGGAAGCCGCTATACCTGTGCACTTACAGTTCCCCGGGTGCTGACAACATTTTTCCGAAAGCGTTGGACATGGCAGCCACGGAACTAGCCAAGCCGTTAGCTCGGTCCTTTCAAAGCTAGTTGCGTGAACAGCAGGTTTCTCACTAGTTAATGCAGGGTAGCATTACCCTGACTTTTAAGCGCGGTAGCCGCTCGCAGCCCGTCAACTATCACCCAGTGATCCTCCTTCCAGTGCTTTCAAGCGTGATGGAAGTGAGTATTGTCGAAGAAGATTTACCATCATGGCGCCGGAGCAATATGAATTCCTTCAACACCGGTCATATACAAGCTACCGAATGTCTGAGTGTGACAGTTGCACCAAATCAGCGGGTAGTGGAACCAGAACGGATGTACTCCATCCCGACTTCCCTGCAGCCTTATACAGCTTAGGTCACCGAATTCTTCTCCGAAAGCTGCAAACTTCGAAATTAGGAGCCATCTGCATTGCTGAATCTGAAATTTCCTTCTTTAACAGTGGCTACAAGTTCTGCTTCGGGGCTTAATGTCTGATTCTACTGAAGTGAACTGTGGTGTTCCACAAAGTTCAGTGTTAGGACTGTGTTTATTCTTGCTCTTCAGTAACGAACTTGCGTATGTCATTGGGTCGAAATTCCTGCTTTTACCGAAGACATCACGATATGGTGAGCGACGGAGTTCAGGAAAATCACGATCAACTGCAACGAAACGTAGACCGTGCTTTTTGATGGCTAACGACTCATCCATTTCCTTTTAATGCAGACAAGTGCAAAATAAGATATGTACACTGCAAGCCCAATAACAGTTGTAGGCTGGGATACTACATTCAGAAACGGCTTCACGGTTACGAGATCTTAGGCTAGAGATGTAAGTTGACCTCGGCTGCTCTAAGCAGTCATTGAATTTGTCCGCAAAAGTGAACCAACATGCTGGTCTCTTAAAGAGTGCATTCCGGCGCTTTGACCCTAATGCCATCTTCCTGCAAAATGCTCAATTCGTAAGTGAGGCCCCAGGTGGAGTACACGACTCAGGTCCACACCCCTTGTTGAAACCTCATCTGGCTGGACTGGGGACCCCACAGCGAAGGGCAACCTCAAACTTTAAGTGTTACTTCAATCTGCCAGACCAACTATGCAATTTCTAACCTTGGACAGTGAACATTAGTACCGTCTACGGTTGACCTCATTCTAACTCATCGGATTTTGAAGAATCTTAGTAACATTTACCGTCAACTACTGAAAGTTAGCCGTAACATACAACCGAGGGGTCACCAATTAAACCGGTTACCCAATAAACCAACTCTTATTGTCGCGAGAATTGTTTTCCTGCGAACTTGTCGACTTTGGGACACTCTTCAAAATCTTACCATTTTTACACCAACGTCACTGATTTTTAAATTCGACCCGAAGATGCATTAAACATCTGCATCATGTAACATATCTAGCGCTCATCGCATGCCGACAAGGTGCAAACAAGCATTGTGTTCACCAACCCCCCCCCCCATAAATCAGAGTACACGGATTTGCTTGTGTGCAGCGTGCATATTACGGTGAGCCCAGATGCACAGTTTACTTGCTGTCATATTTTTGAAGTTTGTATTCCACGTGGACCAATCAAGGGAACCTTTCAAGCTTTGGATTTTAAGCTGCATACTACCATTATTCCACCCATGGGATGATACTGTGTAGTAATTCAGTAATCGGGTTGGTTTGTTTCCATACTAGTTGTCAATATACGTAGCAAGTGGAGATTCAGTACGAAGCCGATTAATTTGTGAGACTGCAACGTATACGCGCCACTTTCGTTACGCCTCTTGGGTGTGCGGACACCCCATATGTATTGTGAACTGGAACGAATAAGACTAGCAGGCATTTAGATGGGATCCGCGATTGAGTCGGGTGGAGCACACACTCCATCAACATGTACATCATTCTTATGAAGGTGGTAGAAGCATGCCAACCAGAAGTACACATGACGATAGTTGGGCCGCAGCACAGCCGGTATTTGTGTCGTACTATGCCCAGTTCTCTGCAACAAGTTAACCACGCTCATTCAGTAAATCACACTGCCTACGGAATAATGGAGCAATGGGTTAATTAAGGATAAAGATGCTAATGCTTGACTTCTCACATAGATGCGGGGAACAGAACAATTAAATGAATGTGTCAATGGACTCATTGCAAAGTCCACATGTGCACGCACTTTGTTTACGTCATGTTGGTTGACCCGTCATCAGATTGACCCTGGCTCCGCGATTCGCATATTATTACATCATCCCAATCCATATTTGTTGCGGTTTTCCGAGGCGGTAACGATAAGCCAGCTAAGATCCGCCCTGTGTGGGCAGAAACAATCAATGGTTGACCTTTGGTTGCCCCGGTCCTAGGACCAATGGCGGCCGTTCACCTCACTGCATTTACTTGGTTGGAAACACACTTTGAACGGTGTCAGATGATTTCTGGTTATTGTTTTGGTACTGATGAAACAATGCGAAATGGGCGCATCTACCAGCGTTCGTCTTCTCAGCATCTTTGGTCATATCTCCTACTGTGGGCACAGCAGTGCGTCAACAAGTCGCCTTTTGGAATTATGCCAAGTTAGGATTGGAAATAATGTAATTCGAATTATTATAGAAGAAAAAGTGAGACATTCCGGCGGCACTCCAGCTAATTATTGTTTGGCACATTGTAATTGGTGACCTCAAGCACAAGTTGTGGATGAGTTTCTACCAGTGAATGTATTCGTGGTTGGTGCCCTTGAGCAAATGAAGCATGGTCACACGATCATTCCACAAAGGACGGCATTACCCAATGAAAACTTAAGCGCCTTTAATTCTTGGTCAGTAAGTCCGTGCCACGGGGATATCAGGTTGAAATGTGATCACACTATAGGCATTTGTCTCAATGACACAATCAGTGTCGCCCAAAAGAGTAGAGCCAGTGTTGTTCACAATTAACAGTCCAGCATCATCAAGGCATTTGATAATACCGAATTGTCGCATGTATAACCCGATTAACAAGAGGTTTGTTCATACCGCAATCTTGAGTACAGAAGATAATATAGATTGTGCATTCCCTGTGGTAAATATGTTGGAACAACTAACTTATTCTGTAACACTAATGTGTCAAGGAATTTCTTTTTGATCAAATGCAGACAACTATGCAGCAATTACGACTTGACGATGTATCTAAACGCCCGTTTCCCAACTAAAGATTTTTTCACTTATAAATTTTTAGCATCTGAAAGCGCTGAAAAACTTCAGCTCACTTCTTGCGCTTCTTCTGGCAGTGCAACAAGTACCAGAGTGTATGTTGTCTAGAAGGTCAAAAATGGTAAGTGCACTTGTGGAGAAAGGATGAGTTTATTTTAATTCACAATTTGGTCAATATTGAAAGTGTAATGATGTGAATTTATTAACTTGTTAGTTGCCTATACTGTCTGTTAGTTTTTGCCTCGTATTTGGTTTAGGCACCAGTCTGGTTCCGTAGACGACTAACTTCGACTTTTTACTAAAGCTGCACGGCGTAGAGACGCAAGCCGATCACAGACATATATAACGGAGGATTTAAAGTAGATTAATGCAATTTTGTTTGTAAAAATTACCCTTTGGATACTAAACCATGGCTTTCAGTAGGCATTTGTGCGTCAAGTGGCACGGACGCTATCACAATGAGTTCACAATGATAGCAATGCTTGTGCCCATAACTTATAATAGCTTAGTTTTGGCAAACGAACACGCAAGTGGCTCCTGCCAATTGTGTGTGCATTTAGCCGGTTACTAAGAAGCCTAAATCTGGAATTTGCTAAACTATACGGTGCATATCTTCAGCGTTGATGTTCCAACAAGTTGGTCAGAGACGATTTGTTTCCAATGCAATGTTCGCTGCTGGTGTGAATGCTTGTTTTCACACTGGTTTAGGTTGTTCCGCTTCGCTAAGGTAGCAAATGAGATTATTCATCGCGATTGCAAATCGCATCTCAGCCAGTGATGCTCGTGCGACGCTACTGTTACTTTGATTCATCGCATTCATTACGTCAGTGTGCCCTTGAAATGCACTACAGATGTTGCCTAGGCTGGTAAAGAAGTGTCTGCATCAAAATCGCGTAGCACGTGGAACAATCCATCAGGCGAAATTAGACCGGGGCTCTGATACTCAAGCGGTACTCAGGACAGCGAACATCAGATACCACGCAAAACGTGTGAGTAATAAATTTCCGACGGTTCTAACAATGCTATCATTAGCAAAGATGGCAGCCTAAGACCTACCTACTGCATATACAACTAGACGGTCGAGCTCCAGTTCCCCGGTACCTCAGTCAAATATGCAGAAATCACTGCAACGTTCACCCTGGATGCCACATTTAGGGTCTCCTCTGTTGAAAACACCACTAACGCAACAGTAGAACAAACAACGGACCATCATCACTTGGCAGAAAACAGGACCAGCGATCATCCGACCTTATGGATTAACCAAAAGGGATCCAACAATAGCGGCGTTACTGTTGTGTGTTCAAAACATCGCTGAATCTACAGCACTCAAATTGCGGGGCAGATTATCTGACGATCTGACGATCAAGGCCAGGAGAACTCATCGTGCGTTCTGACAAGCGTAAAAGCCAAATCTACCAACCTAGCACGAGTTACTTGTCATCTGAAATCTGCATACAGTGAAGAACCTAAAGTATTAGTTACGTTGGAATCTGTTAATAAGGTAGAAAAGGTTTTACTCCTCGCAAGTGAGCTACAACACGGACCCTGGCTGTGACGCATCTACCCTGATGTACCTTGCAGCATATGACAATCGAAAAGAAACATCTACAAAGTGGTGAGTTTCGGGGCCACCCTCTTCCAACACTGCACACCACGAGCGACCGATTTCGTCCTGATTTAGATTCATCGATAGAGATAGCTTGAGCTGAGAGGGGTACCCGGCACAGTAGTTGACGGCTTTCGGCCTTCTCATTAGACCATAGCTCTACACCAGCGCTTGACGTCTCGAAAGGACAGCAATCAGGATCACCTAGACACGATCTTCATCCATGGCGTGCCAGAGCTTCCTACCTACGATGGTCAAGAGCACGGAAACCGGAGTTTGAAAAAGCAACGGTTCCTTCAAAAAATATTTTGTGTGGATAACATCATGCCTCGATCGTTCAAAACGCTACTTCTCTCATCGAATTATAGAGGTTGAGGTCCAAGCATCTTAAAACTCCTGGACCCATCAGAGTAAACAGAAACGGATGTTGTAGAACGTTGACGGAAAAATCTGGAAAATCTCCTATCTGAACTTTGGCTATAAGCTGCAAATGCGTTACAAAGACTAAGCATGGGCCTATCCAAAAAAAAATCCTACCGGCGATTGCACAGGAGCTTTTCCATCGGTTCACGCGCTTCTAGAGTAGGTCCTAAGCAGTAGTGGGACCTACGTTGGCCGTATCAAGCTACCAATGATATATACTTATCCCATCAATAACCACTAACGTCCGACTTCGCAGTGGTCGGTATTCACTCACATCTGACTACTTTAGGTCCTGTGGGTTCCTAAAAACCGCAAAATTAGCCTGCTTTTATACCAAGGCTCAAAGCCTTTTCAATAAGTTTGCCGTACTGCAGTATCGGCAAGTTTCTAAGCCATGCGATTACAACGGTGTCACTGAAACAGTGTTATCTATTCGAATGACGGACTCTGAACTTTCACTGCCCGGTATGTCACTCATCCGAAACAAGTGGTTTACGAGAGGAGGAGAAGTGACGTTGTCAGTACTACTACCTGGTCCTTCCCCGTCGAAGACACCCTGGAAGCCATCTGACTGGAATTAGTCAGCTACTTGAAACGATTGGTCAGGAGTATTTCAGAGACAAGAGCTTGTAGTGGGCCTAAATCAGTTTCCTTCGTAAAGAGCAAAACCAGAAAATGGATGTTTGAAAACAACGCAGCATGGCGAGACTATTCGTTATCCCCAACGTCACATACTTGCGACAATTACGTAGCCCAATGTAAGCACTGCACTCAGTTGCTCAGGATTGACAAAGTCACATAGCAGCAAAACATGATGAAAAAGTTCAGCGCTAACCCCGAACTGCCCTACAAGCATGTTAGTGGCCTTTGTAAGGGGAGGCAGGGAATCGCTCCACTCCGGACGGTTGATGGTCCAACAAGAACGGCTACTGAAGCAGCAACTGTGTTTCGGATGCAATATGTCATCACAATTCAGTGACTTGTCATCAAGAGATCTTCCAGCATTTGCTGTCACGCCGCCGGGACACAACTACATCGGTTTTTACTGCGGAAGCTGACGTCTCTGCGCAAGCACAGTTCCCCAGGTGTCGATACCATTCGTTCTGAGGCACTGGAAGTAGCAGTAGAAACTACGGCTTATTTCTTCCACGGCTGCTTAGACTAGAAGCACGTTCTTGCCGTGTAAAATCATGGAATTAATAACTCCGATTCACAAAGACAGAAGCAGGCCTGAGCCGTCAAACCGCCGTGCAGTAGTGCCTGTTCCTGGACTGTCCAAGATCATGGAATCCATCATTACTGATACACTGGTGTGCTATGTGGATAAGTAAAATTTTTACTCCCGAGCAGCCCGGCTTACATCGAGTGTGATCGTGCATAACGAGTTTATTTTTAGCACGAAGTAGCTGGACTTAATCTGTTGACGCTGCAGAAGACAGCAACGTGTTCAGCTCGGATTCTTCGTAGGCATTCGATCGCCTGGATTATGGAATTCTCCCTTCCAAGCTCCAATGTCGTGGCATCGGCGACCCCCCTCCCTTAAGCTGGACCACCAACGTTCTCTTTTAACGACAATTAGTGGTCATAGTCCGGAGATTCTTGTCTGACCCCATAAAGTCCAATGTGTTGTGCCTCAAGATTCAGTACTAGAGCCACGGTTGCATTTGGTAATTGTTAACGGTCTTGCATAAACAATTGCTTACATTTTCCCAATGATTGTCGATGACATCAAGATATGGCGCAGGATTCAGGGGGATGTCGAACAGAATTCTCTTCAGTGTGATTTACATATAGTACATCATTGGTCAACACAAAATCTCTTGTGGTTCAACGTGAGCAAATGCAAGGTACTCTCCAAATGATAACTATGTACCTACCGCTATAGGTTAGGATTGCAAGGATTGCCACCATCTTCCGTCGTACGCAACTTAAACCTGGTGGTTCAGATAAACTTAGGTTCTACCTGGCAATAAGAAAAGGCATCGAAAACTGGTAACCAACAAATTTGTCTGTTGCAATAGACGTTTGAACAAATAGAAAACTCTATTTTACGACAAATGCTTAGTGCGTACGTTCGCCCCGTGACGAATGCGCCATTTAATTCTGGCAGCCATGGCTGAAACACAACCTCAACATTGGGAACCCAAGTACGTCATTGGAATGTACAATCTCCCATACGGGCAGAGACTATAACCTTTGGGAGTATTTAGGGGATAGCATCGTTGATTACGAAGTGACCTGCTAATGACGTACTTTATTTTAGACAATCCAAATCATGTGCGCCGCTCTTTACCGCAACTCAGTAATAACAGGAAGTTGAGAAGTCACCCATTGGAACTAGCAGAATAATGCAGCACCTTTTAGTGCCGTGGAAATTTGTGTTCTATTCTTGTGTGTCGCCCCGGGAACGCTCCCCTTGAATCAGTCAATGTTACACCCACGCTAGCCACATTTAGAATCTTTTACTTAGCACCATCGCTCCGTCCTTCTTAAGGGAAATAGCTTGGATTTATTATTTGTTCATTATTTGTTGAACTTCTACATTAAAATCCCGAGCTTCGAGTGAAATCGGACGATGATAACAGAACTAAAATGTTTAGCCAGATGTAGCTAATTGAAGTGTACATGAAAAGTATTCGCCCAGAATCATTTGACGATATTAACTCAGTCTTCTCGGATGCTCTACCGAGATTGACAGACTTGAACTCTAAACCGTGGTGGACTTGTATTGAACTCGCTACAACGCTTTTATTCAACAGTTGTCATGCGACCGTTATCTATCCTTGCGTTATGCTTACTTGAGAATAATATGCCACTTATAAAAGTGAAAAAATTCTTCGCGCCAGTGGGTTACTATCCAATGCATTTATTGCTTTTTCTCTCTTGCGCACTTCAGCTGGTGTCGAAGTTTTCTTCGTACATGAAACCACCTACGTTCGCCGAGTACCGACGGGATTTGGAGGGTTCCTCTCTACCTTGTCTGCCATATTTGGGTCTAATATTTCAACAGTTGATACATCTACGTGCAGGAAATTCAATATACTTAAATCAGGAAACCGAAGAGACGCACGTGGAGGAAGCATCAGATGGCGTGGATCAAGACGCCACAAAAATAGCCGACCGTACCGGTTTAACCCGGCCTCCTGAACACATTATAAACATATGGCGGTGCTGGAAACACTATCTGATATTGGGGTACTTCTTGAAAAGAAAAGAAAATCCGGAGAAAAAGTACGATCAGTAAGCCGTTTTATGACAGTATGCTTCGTTGTAAAACCGTTGTGGGTAGCGGTGAACTAGTATTTCGGGCTTACACTAATTAATATCGTCACGGCGACAACAGATGATTAGACTTTCATATATGCGTCGGTAGGCCAGTCGCGCTCACCTAATCCTATTCGGATATTTTTCGTTGGTAAATACATAACACCACAGGCTGTGATGCGTCGATAGCTATCCAGCCCCTTAAGCAGACTAGTGTCACTGTATACATCCAGCCCAAACAGGAACCTCTGACGGCTAATTGCCATAGCCTCTGAGAGGACGGTTTTGCACACTTCTAAGGGTACCATCAATATAGATGCCTAATATTTCCCTACCCAGTCTTCTCTCTACTTACTCATCGGGATCTTCCGATGTCGCATTAATCGTGCACCGATTCGACTTTGGTTAACTAACTACTCAACTGGCCTCTCAATTAATAGCACACTACCGAAGTCCATTCCAACTAATCTTTTATCAGCGTAAGTAAACATGCGTATTCAGCATACCCACTATTGAGTGACCTAATGATGAATGAATAGCGGGGTTATTCCACAGGCATAAAATTGCTATGGCGTGTTATTTCTCATAAAGTCCAGGATTAGTCCAGGATTAGTAGTGTTCAGTCAGGGCTCGCCTCTACCATTAAACTATCTCCCCACAGACCCCTTTCCGTGTAAAGCAATCGTCAATCAATTAACCGGCCAATACTGCATGTACTATGTGCTTGTCTACCCTGTGACCAACTTACTGGTTGAGTACGAGCTTGCCTCGTGCTCACATGAGCACTGGCGGGGGATGCTCCTCATGGACTAGGATGGTTGTGTGAAACTAACGACCGACAGGAAATACGGAAGCTCTTCCCTAATAGTCGAATTTCAGTCGTAATAACTTGTAAAAGAATGTCTGTCTTCGCACAGGTTCAGCTCGGGAGTAAGTACGGCGCAGCCACTTGTGTTGAAGTTGTTGGGAAGGGATATATGTGCCAACTGCACTAGCTATACTAAGTTAAACTTACTAAGCTGTGTTGTCACACGTAGTGGTGCAACACAACGTTGTAGCTGAGGTTTGTTGATGCCTCATAGTATGTATGACCAGCTGATCTGCCAGCTTTAAAGTGGTGCCGATGAATTATTGCGATAGACCTGCCTTGGTAACTGACAGGATGCCCATAAGCAGAGTTGATAAATTAAAAATAAAGTTCGCACTACTCTTACCACAGCCGTTCTCTCCACACCCCATCACAAAGCAGAATAAAAGCACCGGGCCTTCTAGCCGTACAGTAACAATTAGAACCCTAACGCTCGGTCGCCATTTGACAACTGGGCGAAGGCAATCGATTGCTAAATCACCTACTGCCTAACTGCTTAATAGTGGCGGCCTGCATCTATTTCAGTGTAGACGAACTTTGGGTAATACGTGCAAATGATATGTCTCAGAGAGTATTTTATCAAAAATTCTACCTACCATACTGCCATAGGCAATGCAAATAAAGGCTATGAGACTGTGAGGCACAAGGCACAATCTTAGTGGTTGCAATTTCTTTTATACGAAAGGCTTCATGTCACAGCCCAATCCAGTGGAAGTCACGTGCGTGAATAAGTTCAACCACTAAATTTCGAGCTGCGATGAGGTTGGTATTCAGGCTGTGATATCAGGGGTAATTTGGTCTCCGTGCAATATATTGAGCCATGACAATTTCGGACAGTAGAGAATTTCGTTGATTGCTGATTGCCGAAATGTCAACAGTTCAGCTTCGTAACTCTTCATAAGATTAGTGCGTTATACCAGATAATATCTGAGAATAAAAGCAGATTAGAAGGATTTTTGGCGAAAAGTTAAAATAGAGTAATGTAAAGAATTCTGTTAACACAGTTCCCAAACTTCAAGCTTTGTTCGCTCTTGCACAGCAACTGCTTAAACGGAAGCAGTGGGGTTACCTTCGCTAATCCTCACTTGCAGTAACATCATCGGTGTTAGAATCTCAGTAAGCTGCGCTGTTCTTAGTAGAAACTGTTCCTATTAGAAAACTTCCTCAACAGCCAATTGACCATTAGTTAAGCTCGACCGCATTCCGGTTACTGTCGTTTGATAAGTTACTACTAGCGTATCAGTAAATGTCCACTTGTTGCACTCTGACTGAATGGCTAACTCAGCGGCACTGGTAACACTCGATAGGACGAACAAACAAGAACGGCACATCAGCAATGGCAAGGTCTTTGCAACCGAGTAACATAACCCGATGGTTTAGACCAGGAGCTTGTCAAAAACGAGTAGCGACCGACCCTTCAGTATTCTACACTGTCCTTATTCTGATTTATACACCCACGAAAACAACATTGAAATGTTGAAAACTACTCCACCTGTACACTGACGCACAATGCCTTGCTGGTAAGGTGATCGAATGTAGACTCCAGCAGGCCACAAAATAGGGTGATCACCTGCTTATCTCCAAAAGGTTAATGAGCTATGATGTCAGCAACGTCGGGGATTCATCGCTAGCAAAAGTAATTCTCTGTCGCTAAAATGACTTTCAATGGGGACTTATATGTTGCCCAGATACCCAAAGGCCCGCATTAGTGTTAATTATGACGGCGCAAAAAGCGATATCTATCTAGTCGTCCACTAACTTTAATTCGGAAATTAATTATAGACTAAAACAGATTTGAAGATCTTATTGAACATTGCGTGCGATAATAGTTTAAACATAGGTGATTTTAAACTCCATACTTGGTTGGTCCAGGATTAATTGGCTAACAGTTTAATGTTTACTTGCAAGATTATCTACCCTCTCCCATATACAATTAGATCAGTTTTCCCGCTAGGTTCAGAAGAGTTGCTGGTAGTTTATCTTGCGCTCATCACTGCGAAACCCATAAACTTGCCAAATCCCACTCGCCTCGTGGATGCACTAATTCTACTTTCCCGTTCTCTTTGGGCTTACGCGGTCGAGTTATCACACAAAATTACCTGATTATACCCGTTCGATCAACCTCGGGGAGTATTGCTCGCTGACTCTAGGTATTCGGATTCACTTATCTCGGATCACTACTTCTCTTGTATTTCCTTTTTGCGATTTTTACACTGACGCTTATGCATACAACCTCAACATTTTGGGTGTCGAAAGACTAATTGTGGCCTTCTCTGGAAGCCAATGTAAACTGCTTGTTAACGACTCTGACAAATCACAACGAGGGCGGCATAAAACAGCTACCACTAATTTCATTAGTTCTGTTGCATCCACTGATTATGTACTCTTCCGAAGTCAAGCAACGGAAAAAGAAACGCTAGCTCCCACTGCTACACAAGCGCTTCGACTCCATCGATAGCATATGCGTTGTTCCAACGCATGTCTGCTTTCACGTGTTGGTGGTGTTGACGCGCCACGTGAGATCGGGAACGAATCACTCACGCTTGTGTTCATCCGACTACTGACAGGTGTGTCACTAACATCACCAGACCAAGGCCACAAACTATGCAACGCGTTCGGTATTGTTTGGAAGTTCACTTTGCCAAAGAAACAACAGATACGACTTTATTGCGGTACCTTTTTTTGTTCTATATTGCTTCATCTAGTATCCTGGAATTACGATTTATCATCACCTTACTCAGCACAAGTACCCGGAAGAAGCGTAACAGTTAACATCCATTCTCAGAGCCATTCTATGTTACCTATTGTGTATTTTACATGTGGTTTTCTTCTCTTATCTGCCGTAGCGACAGGCTCATTATGAAAATATTACTTACAAACCGACATGCTCCAATTATCGTTGTACAGCTCGGACGACCAAGCAAGGCAAACGCACAATAGCTGGAAGCCGTAGTAAAAACAATGTCAGGAGGAGTCCAGGTGTTGTAGATTAGTCTGAGCTTCCTGCTAAACTATATATAGCATGTGCCTGTTGAATGATTTACTATAGGTGAAGCTACTTGTAAAGAGCTTTCATTTGGACTGACAAGCTCACCTCTGTTTCGACCCCCGTACAATCTGGCTGCTTTATCTGAATCGCACTCAAATATTGCTACAATACACTTCAAGTAGTGCAGTCTACTAATATATACTCGATTGCGACAGATTTGCCAAATCCAATCCATTGTTCATGAAATGATGTGGTTTCCAACTCGCAGTACAAGCTGCCATTAATAACTATTCAGTAGGTGCTTCGCACTTTATGCGCATGCAATCTTATTGCTCCAGTTGCATAAGATTAATCAAAAATTGAACACATTGCACCCGCCCCACACTTTTCATTTTGCAAATAAACTAGTAACTGAACATTTCCTTCAAAAGCGCTCTCTCATTCTGTTTAAGACATCTTTCACACATGTGAAAAGTATAGACGACAAAACCCCATTACAAGGGAACTTAGGCAGTGGCAAGCAGAGGCGAAAGCAACTAACAAACAGCTATGCCCTCGCATTCAGTCACTAGCGCTTAAATAATTGGCTACAAAAATCTTGAGATCAGTACTCCGCTTGCATCAGACAAAGATATGATGATTACTAAAGACGCTTAAAACTTAGGTTCTTTCAACAACTGAGATATCGTACTCAGTGGAAGGGATCGGTTGTTATATTGGGACACAAAATGGACCCCTTCCAGCACGCACCTATCATATAAAGGATAATGGATAGAATAGTTACAGATGGTTCACTTGTTTACTTAAGTAAGGAAACCATCATGGACAAGTTACAGCACAGCTTCTTACAAGGTCGATCCTGCGCAACTTGTCAAAGTGACTATCTAAAGCACACGATGGCTGCCCTGGTTAACGGATCCAATGTACTAGTCCTGTTCCCGAATATGCAATGTCTCTGATAAAATGCCACATCGGAGACTACTCAACAAGTGTTTAAGAGTCGATGTTTTCTTGGCTATCCTCATTTCAGTTTGGCAGAAAACAGTTAGCGCATATTGGTAACCACTTTTCTAAGTCGAAAACACTCACATGTGGGTTATTCAATAGAGTTTCTTGGACCCTTTCTTATACATGTAAAGACTGCATTTCAGAGGATAATGCGTACCATTCCTTTTCTTCTTTCCAATGAATTAAGGTCGTCTATGCACAAAGAAGTGTAAATACCCAAGAAGCCATACCGCTCAGTCACGACGATCTATCTACACTGTGACAGTGTGAAGTGATAGCACCAAGACCCCAGTCCAACAACATTTAAATAGCTGATCACACGATCTCTAGCACAAGAACCATGTCTCTCCTAATTGTCCATGGACAAGCCTACATCTCTCTTTGCAGAAAGTAATTCGTTATAGTGAGCGAGCATGAGGTTCGACGGCCTTCAGGCACTAGCCAGTATAACACAGCATGGGTTAAACATGAACAGGAGTTGAGCTGTGCAGATTCACCACTCTTTTACCTATAGTTGTAATTTTGTACGACGCAGTATTTAGATTTGTTCGAAGTAACGCAACGTCAGTGTCTTGGTGCAAAACGACTTGGGTAATTGAAAAAGCCTACGCGGAGATCTTCAACGGACAACCAATACAAGGTATCCCAGTAAAATGTTGTTCACCATCTTTCCCTTAACATCCAGTACTCAAATACGCTCTCACATGGAATCTGCCATCTGTGCCAAATTGCACTGACTGAAGTGTGACCTCACTGCACTATAGATTGTACAGTATCAAACAACAAAGGTGCCGGATAGATGAGCCACATTCTATGCCAGCATGAACGGTAGGTACTCGGAAATTTTACTGAACACTTTTGCGGTTGTGCTGTTGGCTCATAATAATCGACGACACTGAGTGATCCTAATCATATGTGCTGACACTCCCTGCAACTCATTTATGGCGTCAAACATAACAGTGACGTTAAAAGTAATTCGACAGTACATTCAGTCATATTACCGTCGCGATTATTCTCGTCTATAGATTACCAACCATGTAACGCCCCAAATATAGATAGGTATACTCCCACATTGGTGTTTTCTACTTGGATTGGTATAACACAATTGCGTCCCTTGTCCTTGTCACATGCAATCTGGTACCGTGGGTATCATTCTCGGAACTACTAACCCGGCATATATGCGCGCAGATCGGTGCGTAGGAGCACACTTTATATTTCCTTTGTAAAGCGGTATGACGCAACGTTCCTTTGTTCTCTGTGTATTAAGAAGCTTTCAACCCGTTCTACAATTGGGATATGTAGAATAATTGCTTGTTTAATCGCAATGTACTCTTTGTTCATTGCTCAATTTGCAGCTACACATGAAATACGCCCATTTTGAAGTTTTGTGCTTTGGATAGCATTCCCTTGTTGAAATTTTTCTAACTCCTACTTTATGAGCTAACTGCGAGCATGTAAATTTAGCACGGTAGATTTAAACGGGTTCTTTTATTTCATTTCAGCTTGCATCACATCCCGTGTATAAAGGAAGTGCAGGCAATAATCAATGGGTTTTGCGACACATTTCCTGATGATCTGTTAGAAAAAGCCAAAGAACGGCTGGTTCGCAGCGTGAAAACGAAGCGGACGTGAACCATCAGTCATACCAAATGACTTCTTTCATTTTAGTATTGTAAGCTGACAACTTTCGCTGGATTGCTTTGAGCTCCGGTGGCCACCGGCTATATGATTAAATCGGTGATTTTTTAGCACATGTTTATAATTACTTGTTAATTCCGGGATCGTTTCCTTACGAATTTCATTCTGCAAGGACCCATTTCGCTGTGCACGTTTGTTACTGACCACCAATACTTATTTTCTGTAGCAAATCAAGCGCTTGAGAGAATTTTTATTTTGCATAAACGCAAAAGGGGAACACAGGCTATCGTCGTTGCTGTACTTAGATACCAATGCATAGGGGGAGCTTACTTTTACTCATTGTACTTTTTCAGGCATATAATCACAAATCCTGAAGGATGGCCTCTTAACTTGCGTAAACTTCCCTGCTCAATAGGTAAATCAATGAGGAAAGCAAACCAAGTGTGTCAAAGCCAGTCCAGAAAGCTAGGAAATCAGCATACCCGTCTGGCGTGCCACAGAAATTTCCTCTCTGTCCTTGTACGCCGCCAGTGGAACGCTCATCCTGGTTCGGTCGTATCTGCAGCAAAAATAGCCATATTTACAAGTCGGTTGGCTGACGTACGCCGCCAACTACATTTGCTTACTAAACACCCACTCTCCGCCCTTATCCTTGGAAATATCTTGGATTTAGTAGCTATCACTTGTTGGTGCAGCGGTTTTACGCAGAGGGTAGGACCACAGCAATACAAAGGAAAAGTCCAGATGCTATAAAAAGGACTAACTTTTGTTAGTAGCTATTTTCTATAGCTCCACTAGACCACGCAGCAGGTTGTAAATTCATTATTCATTGTTCGAATCGAACTATGGCAGACAAACATTAAACTCGAAGCTGCTCGACGGGTGGGGGTTGGTTGATCCATCTAACTTATGCTGGAGCTAAGCCTTGTTTAGTAATCGGTTGAGTGGGGCGAACGGAATAGCGATTGCTTGCATACCAGGATGGGTGTCATCGATCCGCCGTCGATTGGAGTAGGAAGGTTTCCTTATGTTTGGCGTACAAACAAAACTATATCTTCATGGAAATCTAAAAATAATTAATTCCCTTCAAGGGATGGGAATTCTCACATCATATTTGGTATGTAGGTGCAAAGGCACCGATTCCTTGACAAGTTCGTAAGAGAGTTGGACTTTGCGTCCTTCGATTCGCTGGCCGGAGAAGATGAAGTTCAAGGACTAATTTCTTCTGCAAAAATAAGGACGGTTGAAGCAATCTGACAAAAATTGCTTCAGCCGTCGCAAGTGTACGGAGCCGTTGATCTTTCGAGTGGCGGGGTGCAACCTTTTACACTAACCTAAAGGCGTGCGTTAGGTCCAGCTGATGCCCAATGTGGACGATATGGGAAAAAACGAAATCGTTAATTACACCAGTCATACCGTGATGCAGCATCGCTCAGACGGCGCGCCGCTTGTAGAATAGTGTGAACAAGCACTGCTCCCGTTGGTTGCATCACGGTTGGGCTCGTGTAATTAACAGCTCCGTTCTTGTCTACATCGTCGACACTGGACAGCAGGTGAACTTAATACATCGTTAGAATAGTGTACAAGGTTCCCCCGCACCGAATGGATGGTCAGTGGCTGTTCGAACACAACGCCCACTGCAATTGTGAACTCGAAAGTCTGCGCAGCAAAACCTTGTAAAATAGCAGTGACAATAGGACTGGCGAATTCTCACTGTAACAACCATTGCTATCCGAACTGCATTAGGGCGTCATTAAGCCAAGGAAAACCATACCACAGTTTGTCTGCCTCACTTTGGTTTTGTTCTAAGGGTACGATGATTTTCCAGCTAAAGTGTGCACTAGCACTATCACAAAAGTACGACGGCCTAATCGCTGAAACTGAACTTAATGCTAAACTTGATTCGCTAGAGGCTACAATAACAAGCGTTGCACTTCTTCCATTTTCCCCGAGAGAAAGGGCCAGGCGTTCCAAGGCCATCACAATAACGGAAACCGTGGAAACAGCGAACCGACCAGCGATTACGGACGATCTAACTATGCCGAGGCCCATCGCCACTATCCTACAGCCCAACGTATCGACGGATGAAACCTCGATAACGCCTACAATTTTGAATGACCAACAGAAAGGGGACATTTCCAGAAGTCGATCCGCTCAGGCAATAGGTGTCTTTCGATGCATTCAAGCTGTGACTCCGGTAGCTTCAGCCGCTTTAGCCACAACGGGTGTCAAGGACGAAATGCAATCTGCAGTGGTCATGCTAAAGCCACCCACCACAGATTCTCCCACATCATCTAAGACCAGGCGGAACTATGGTGACTTAAAACTCCTATGCTATGACGTTGCTGAGTCGGAGGCAAACACATTAAGAGGTAAACAGCAAGACGATTTGAATCAGTGGAATAGTTTTTTGAGTGGATGGGCTTTCGGGACAGACTGACTAACTTAATGCGCATCACCGAACATCCAAACTAGATACATTACAGCTAGTTCCGGCAATACGAATAACATCGGGATCCACAGGTTATGTGTAAGCGGTACTTTGTTCGGTCTACCGCCTCCGGAGTAAAGAATGTGGAATACGCATATTACTTATTGTTCCATACTGGGAACCTCAGCAGGACAAAATATTCAGGGACTACCACTCGGAGAGTAGCAGAAGGATCATTTTGTTCACAGCGTACTGCAGTTACCGGCAGCCAGCGACGAGGATGTCCGTGCTAATGATCTTAAAGAAAAGCGGTACATCCCTGAAGATCTCTGTGATTTGACTCCTAGCAGTCCATTTTCATGCTACCTGTGTAGCCTCAGTGTAAAGGCAGTGGCTCATGAATACTACGACTTTTGGTTTAGTCTCAACAGATGGCGGTGAACTGAATGCATAGCTGATATAAGCTGCATAACGCACTACCTTCAGAACTACGCTTGAAAACATCCGTTAGTGTACCACGTGATCGAAGAAGCAGCGCCCCTCGAGACACAATGCAACCAAAGCAGCGAGTAAGGAAATCAAGTTCTGAGATCGTTAGCCATTGAGAACGGATTGCAAACAAACCGAGACCTCGCGTTGTTCCGTTCATCGGCAAACCACCTAAAAAACGATTAGGCATCGGGCTTTCATCGGCCGGCATATATCAACCCCATTTAAGCAATCCTTTTCAAACTCATCTGAAGTGCAAAATGCTCACCTGCATGTACAGTAATGCCCAAAGCTTGCTAAACAAACCTTCCTGACTTCCAGTTCGTCAGACATCAAAGGCCAGTGAACGCATCCCCATAACAGCGATATGGTTGTGCCCCGACATAAGTGACATCCAAGTTCAGTTATTAGGCAAGTCCGTCGTTCGGAACGACCGAGACAACAAAGTTGGCGGGGTTGCCCTATACTTTCGCAGTGACCCTATAGAGGATCCAGTCAACTCGGTGCAGGATTCCCTTTGGTGTTGTCTACGCTTGAGGGGCAACGATGCTTGCTTGGTAGTTGTCGTCTACGGCCATCCATCTTCTACGCCCGTGACGAACTTCAACCTGGCATCCGAAATGAGGCTGTTACAAAACAGGAGGTACAGCCATAATCTTATTACTGGCGACTGCATCGTCCAAGCTCTGGAATCCCAACCCACCATTGGAGAGCAGTTCAAAGCATATCTACAATAAGTTCTCGCCAGTTTCTCCCTTTATGGTTACATGCACAGTCCCATTCGATTCAGAGAAGTAGAAAAGCCATCATCACTAGACCGCAACACCCGGGATTATGAGGGTGATTGTCGATATTCCTCTAGACCACATTGATCATGAAATCTTGCTCTATATGTACACCTCCTATGCAGAATACCCCATGGAGAATACGCAAACAACGAGAATAATAAATGTTACGACACATTAGCCACACTAGTTGAAACGACTAACCGGAAGTCTTTAGCCGATGTTGCCTTGGAAACTTTCGTCAGCTAGTGTACCATCTTGGTTGCTGATATATCAAAAACAAAGACTATCCGATCGAGTAACATGGTCTCGTTTTTACGGAGTAAGAAATGAAAAGGTATGGCACGCTCACAAAACCAACCTGAGCATGAATAGCTGGAGGACGTATGTTGTCCGTCTTGAACATTGTATTCAACTAGTGCGCATGGTCACAGTTACATATCGATAGATATTAAGCGCACAATTTTTCAGGCCATATGTTAGTGTACAAGCCTATAAATAGTTTCCGCAATGTAAAATAGGGGATTTCCTCTTCTTGTGATAGCGAACAGACCAAGACGTGCGGCCAACAAAGCAACCAATGCCATGCAAAAGCAATATATGCCAAATTGTCAATGTGTTCCGTGGTATACTGATCCATTGGAATGTATTTTGCCTTCACAAAGATTTACTCATATCCAGTTTACAGCAACGCTTTTGATGAGAAAGCTGTTATCTAAGAGCAGACACAGCTGTCTCGGAGATGATGATATTCAGCCTAAGACGTTTGTCGTAGAAAATAAGAAATTGGCTGAACGTTCGGCGTGATTCTTTCAGCACTGCTTTGACAAGTTGCAGGTTCTTACAGCATCCAAACATGGGATAATAGCTATCATTTACAAAGCAAGCGGTTGTTTCAGCTAACTGCTATCCAGAGTGGCTCTTCCAGTTCTTTCAAAGTCATGGAGGCTAGAAGTGCTGATGCGCTCATGTGTTGCCTTGAGGAACTTGGATTCATTGTGCAAGAGCAACATGGTTCCGTCAGAACCGATCATGCACTACCAATCTACTGTTCGCATGAGACAGTTGGAACGAAACAATGTGTCTTTAAGCAAGAGTTGATGTTGTCTAGAGTTCTGTAGGGCATTCGACCGACTGAATCACTGCATCCTTCTAGCTAAGCTTCAGGAAAGCAGGATGGGTGATCCTCTCCTAGGGTGGATCAGCAACGTCCTCTTGCATAGGCGTCTGGAAGCGAAAGCGTGCTAATGGATATCAAATCCTATTCAATGGGAATACGGTACGTTACAAGATTCGGCATTAGGTTTCCACCTGTTCCTGAATTTCTTTAACGATCTAGTAAGCCTAAGTACATTCAAACGCGCCTTATTGCCCACCCGGTTTATAGCCCAGTTTTTCGTTAAGTTAGTAAGTCGAATGGAAGTGGACGCAGTGTACTTACGAACGCTGCGCTGATGCTGATTAAACAATTAGTTGATTCATCGTATTTTTGATACTGACCCATGTGGCCACACCTGGGCTTTAGTAGACCCGCTTAGCT